ACAGAGCGAGAGAGAGAGAGAGAGAGAGAGAGAGAAGGATTGCGAAAGCGAAGGAGAAACAAAGCAGACCAACCAACCCACATAGAAAGACAAAGAGAGACAGACAGACAAAGACACAGAGCGAGAGAGAGAGAGAGAGGGAGAGAGAGAGAGACAGACAGAGAGAGAGAGAGAAAAGGACAAAGAGAGAGACAGAGAGAGAGAGAGAGAGAGGGAGAGAGAGACAGAGAGAGAGAGACAGAGAGAGAGAGAGAGAGGCAGATAAAGAGAGAGAGAGAGAGACAAAGACAGACAGACAGAGTGACTGATTGACTGACTCATTAAGACCGACTGACAGACAGGAAGAGAGAGAAGGAGAGAAGAAGAAAGAAGGAGAGAGGAAGAATGAAGGAGAACGAGAGAAAGAGGGAGAGGGGGAGAGAGAGACAGACAGCTACACACACACACACACACACAGAGAGAGAGAGAGAGAGAGAGAGAGAGAAACTACCTTCTGTCGGTCTTTCCAATTTCAAGACATAGTCCGGCGTGATTTCGTCCACTGAGGGTGCGATGACCGAGTCCTCCCCCTCGCCGTCCTCCTCCTGGGCCTGGGCGGCATCCTTCTCCCGCTGCGTCTCCATCGCGATACCGTTCTTGTTTTTTTTCCTATCTAAATAATAATAATCCTATCTAAATAACAAAAATAATAACATAAGTAATATTAATACAAAACAAAATATAAAATCAAAAGCAAGTGTTATAACTGGTGGTTACACATTAGATCTACACTATTGCAACGTCGGCTACTCCAATCATGGGACCCCTTGGGACATATGTACAACCTCAAAACACTGCGCTACTGTGGGTACTCATCCTGGGACCTAGAGCTGGGACAGCTATGGGTCCAGGTGCTAAGAATGCAAATGCTGGGACAGCTGTGGGTCCAGACTCATGGCCCCCAAAGTTAAGACAGTTATGGGTCAAAATTTCCTATTTGTGTGTGGAGTTAAAAAAACAAAACAAAACAAAAAAAATCCTAAATGCTTGGACAGGATAAAGAGATTAAAGAGCTCCAAGTGCCACATATCTTCTCCCTTCTCTGTGCACATAATAAAGAATATAAAAGCTTAGAACACTGGCTGCACTATTGTGAGATAAACCCACTTCCACTCATCTCTACTCTCCTTCCCTCTTCTCCTCTAGTCCCACTCTACCTGTGGACTAGACTTGCGCTTCATAAAAGCACATGCAACCCAACCTGCAAAACCACAGGAGCAACAATATTCAATGCACAATCAATTTCCAAAATTCCAATTCTTCAGAACAAGGGTTTCATCAGAAATGAAAAACCTTTTCATATATATATATCGTCACAAACAGAACTGCCCGGTAAAACCGTAGGCAGAGAGAGAGAAGAGGACAACAAACGAGGGGCTGTGACAAACTGTTTCGTCGGAGTTTCACCGACTCATCAGGAGGCTATATATATATATATATGGGGAGTCAAAAGAAGGATGAGTAAAATGAATGGTTTCACTGTGCCCTTCATGTTTGTATGTTCTTTTTTTTTTTTTT